TTGTGCCGTGCTTGTAAAATTTGCATTTAAATCAATCTTCTCGCATTTGTTAATGTAAAATGCACAAATGCTGCGAGATAGTATCAAACGTTAATAAAAACAAAGAGACGAAAACCGAGTTGATGGGAAGAAATTATAATTTCAAGGAAAGGTCAAATAAATCTGAAAATAAAGCATGTTAACTCTACCTACCTATAAAATACACACTGCTATTATAAATAGGAGGACACTTGGGAAGTAACATTAAATATATATTTAAACCGATTCCATAGTCATTTTCGAGATTGGTTAATTTTTAAGGGAACTGTATAATAAAACCTCCTATATGATAGCAAATGAAAGAATTCATACAAATAATGCTGAATATATAATTGAAAAATACATAATTTTAATTTATCTTTTTAAAAAAAAGTATTTGATAACAAAAAACTCAAAATTTATGACTCAAAATAATTTACAGACTTCGATAAAACTGGCACAAACTGATTTACTTTAATTTGTCCTTTTTAAAATAACTTTATGTTTTCAATATTTTAATAAAGTAAATGTTCGCACACAGAAAAATAAACGCCTGAACTCAGGAAATGAAAGTTCGAGAAATTATTTCATTAAAAGAAATGATGCACTTACTTATTTCTATTAAATGATATCAATTTCTGGAAAAATATTTTTAAAAAAATAGAAACGTTAATAGGTAAGGTTAATCTTTTTTTTTTAAATATGGTTCACCCTGTTCAAGGCCTGTAAGCCACTCGAGGTAGAGTGCTACTATAAGGGGAAATTTATATGGATAATCTAAATATTTGAAGACAACGATTAGCCCTAGACTTAGGTTAATGTTGTAGTGAAATATGGACAAATTATATTTTACTTTTGTACATCCAAAAATGACCGACAAGCTTAGCAATCTCACAAAAGCTGAAGCCTACACAGGCAGAGTCAGTGTTTTAATTAAAGGCATAATTTTGAAATGCATCATATTAGTTGCGTCAGAAATACCTCCAACATATACATCCCAGAAATAACTACCAGATATTGGTAAGAGATTGGTGGCAAAAACGTCTTTATGTAGCTAATGTCTTCCCATCTGGTGAAAGGTATATCTGAGAGGTAGATTGTTTATATTATTTACATTATTCGAACTGTTATCCTCGTTTTAATTGATATATTCACAACATTTCGGCCGTTGAACGCTCCGGCCTCCTTCAGGTGATTGGAATTTCGAATTGAAACCATTATTTCATCCACCAGGGTATATTGTTCTCGTTTCACGTGCCAATCTACCCCGGTGGACGAATTACAGGGTTCCGTACGAAATTTTAATCACCTGAGGAAGGCCAGGGCGTACCGCGGTTGAAACGTTGTGAATATGGGAATGAAGGTGAGTATAACCGTCCGAATAATGTAAATAATGTAAATAATCATAATACCTCATCTCAGAGATCTAGACAGATATGGGTTTTTGATGTTAGTTGTTGGTTCTACTGCACTCTGTATAAAAAAAAAATATATCTTCATTGTGATTATACTCTGTATAATATTCATATTTTTCTATGGTCTGAGTCCAATCAGGAAGTTGGCAATACACAATCTTTTTGTCCTTTGTAACTCTTAATAAATGTTGTCTATTTGTTATATCTCCTAAACCTTCTTTCGTCATTAATTTTGTTGATTTTCTCCGTCTCTCTTGTCTTCAATCTGTCTTTCTATCCTGTGAGTATCATATTTTCCAAACGCTCTTTCTTCATTATTTCCCCTGGAAATTTCAACTATGTTTCTGATGATAAGTATAAGTGTCTTTTTTGGTTCCATTTTCCCTGAAACTTCATCGTAGCGGATATATTCAGTTAATGGTATTTATATTATCCTTCTCTAGTATCACATTCCATTGGCTTCATGTCTCTTCTTCATCTGCGAGAAGTCCAGCATTCAACATAATAGAGGAGCACTGATAATGCGTAACAATTCAGATCTCTTTGCTTTGTTTCTAACGATATTTCTTAATACTTTGCTCAGCTTTTGGAAAACATACTTCGCTATTCTAAAGCGCCTTCAGATTTCAATGTTACACTTTCCGTTCTCTTAAAACGCTTACCAGATATTGTATGTATGATTTTGTTATCTCCAATTTGTAAATTGCGTTTTGGACTCATCATCTTGCTGACAAACATATATTCTGTCTTCTTCCAATTAATATTTAGTCTTTTCTTCTCGCTTTTCCCTTCCATCTGTAGGATTTATTGTAGTTTTCTTTCTGTGTCTGCTATGAACACTCTGTGATCTGCATTAGGATGTTAAGATTGTGATCACTAACAAGGATTTCTATTACAGTGAACGAAATAATACTAAATGTTTTTAGCAAACATCACTTCGTAAAGGAATATTAATTTTCTCTTTCCTGAATTTCTGAAAATAATATAATTAACCCATTATTCCATGAATTAAAATATAATTAAAATATAATTAACCCATTATTCCATGAATTAGAATATAATTAAAACATAATTAACCCATTATTCCATGAATTAAAATGTAATTAAAATATAATTAACCCATTATTCCATGAATTAAAACATAATGAAAATATAATTAACCCATTATTCCATGAATTAAAATCTAATTAAAATATAATTAACCCTTTATTCTATGAATTAAAATATAATTAAAATATAATGAACCCATTATTCCATGAATTATAATATAATAAAAATATAATTTAAAAAAAAAAAAATTAACCCATTATTCCATGAATTAAAAACTCTCCCTTTTACTTAGGCACCGCCACTTACCTTTCGATAGCTAAATTTTAAAATGATTTATTAAAAATGAAAAGTATTCTTGAAGCTTTGATGGTACATTTAACTGAAATCAACAAGATTAAATTTACTATTTCTAATAAGTAATGTACTCTGGTATATTTCAAATAGAAATTATATTGATTAGAATCTCAACTATTTGCTCTCTTTCAGAATTTTTTTTAAATTCAGCCATTTTTGACAAGTTTGTAAAAAAAAGTTAATTAATTTTTAAGGTATAATTTATCTATTTTTTTAATTATTTACTTTAAATTTAAAATAACAGAGAAATTAATTTTTACAACAAACAATAACAGTGATTACATCATTGTCACTCGTTACCTGTCAATCTCGATCAATTAACAGACATAGATAAGGTGTTGACGTATTTATTGGTTTTGTATGGCGACTTTATTTGTGAAACATAATTTTAAGAAAATGATGAGTGAACGCTTTTTTATATACTTTTTAAGTACTGAAGAATCATAAAAATGTTGAAATATCTTCTCCGTAATTTAATTTTAGGAATGTTGAATTGAAATTTACTACAGTCATCGCTCTTTTTTTTCTGATTATGTCGTGTAAGGTCGACCATACTTTCAAAATGGGGTACGTTACTTAAGATTTTATGTCCATAAAAAAAAAGAAAAAAAAAAGAAAAAAACTTATTTGAAAAATCTTGGTGCAAAAGACTTATATTAAGCTTTTCAGTTTTTGATTCGTAAATATAGTTTCCAGTTAATTACAATATCATCTAACCGGAATTTTAAAAGATTTAAATTATTATAATTATTTTAAAAATGAAAACTATTCTGATAACATTATTTACATCGTTCGGACTATTTTCCTCATCTTTGTCGCCATATTTATTACAACGTATCGGCCGTTGTACGCTCCGGCCTTCTTCAGGTGGTTGGAATTTCGAACTAATGACAATTCATTATACATCGAAAAAAAACGTTTTTCTTAACAGAATAATGTCCTTAATAAAGCTTATTTATGAAAGCAATTAAGAGGTTTTCCAATTAAATTATGTCATACTTTCATTGCATTTTCTTTAAGATTCAAAGCAGATTTTCGGGAAAGAAGCAGTAGTTTGAAAAGAACAAATTGGATCATTTAAATTCTTCAACTAAAGGTTTGGAATGAAAATTTAATTTCTCGAAATTAGGTATGTGGGGGTGACATATGTAAAAATATATATATATATATTTTTTTTTTTTACCAAGATTTTCTAAAAAATAAAATGTAAAAAAATGACTGCATTCATTTGTGAATAAGTCCGGAAACATACGTTAAAATCCGACAGTTATTTAATTTTTGTAAGAACTTCCAAATCAATGTGTTTTTCACCGGAAAAAAGCTAAGGAACACTAATCGTAATTATTACATAAGCCGCTGGACTAAAAAAGAAAAAAGAATAGAAGTTTAATTAGAAATTCCAACGTAATAGAAAAGATAAAAAATTAATAAAATAATAAAAAATACTTTGATATTTCCTTTTAATAATAACATAAACATTTTGACCATAAAAAATTGTTTTTATTAAGTTATCAGCATGCAATCCTTTTTTTTTCAGCGATAATGCGGCAATATATACTACTGGAATTTAAAACATTAATCTATCGATATATTATTTGTGTTATTCATGGACTTCATGTTAGTCCTTAATTTCCTTCTAGTTCAAGACAATCAGAATTATGATTAGAAGGTTTATCGGATAAAACTTACATAAGAAGGCTAAAGAGCGTATCAACCGAAATGTTATGTCGCATCAAAAATAATATCATAAGATGTCAAGTTGGCAAATCCTACATTCTATTTACATATTTATTTCGGAATATTCTCAGCATTTTTATTCACAATGTAGTACGCTCTGTTGGTATGATTCGACAGGAATCTCACAGTTAAAATGCCATTGCTTTAAGCTCTAAGGTAGAGAAACGTTGTTTCTAAACTTCATTACGTGTCATACATTACCTCATACGATGACTCATTGCTTTAATGTAGAGACCTATTTTTTTTCCACGCGCTGTCTATCAATGTCTCAGAGTGACACATGGGAGACAAACAAAAGGCGAAAAGCTAGCCTACAAAAATGACATTAGATGAAATGTCATGCTAAGACCGTCTTTGATCGCGGTCAGTTGGAAAAGAAAATATTTTGACCAGAGTCTAAATGAAAGAAGAAAAAAAAAGAAAATATCAGTCAAACGCCGAGAAATGTAAGATGAGAGAAGGAAACAAAAGCATGACGAAAGATGCTAGAAATAAAGAAGAAAAAAAAAGGTTGTCTAGGAAGAAGAAATATATGGGAAGATAAATGTAGTCATAGAGAAAGACATGGGGTGCAAAAAGTGAACAAAAGGAATAAGTTAAAGAAGATGAGGAAGAATGATTTTGAGAAATGTATTTAAGGAAAGAAGAGAAACAAAGAGACGAGCAGGTAGAAGAAAACAACTAAATAACAAAAAGTCAGGAAAATGTATAACTATGGAAATACGACCAGAGATCAAGAAGAAGAAAAATGATAACGAAATAAGAAAGAAAAACGATGAATAATTAAATGAAATGATGAGCAATAATTATACATTCAAAAAATCTGTAACGAAAGCAAAAAAAGAAAAGAAAAATAACAAAAAAGGGTGCGAAGAAGGAAGATAAAACTCAAGGACACATGGCACAGTGGATAAAGGCGTTGGTTAGATCCAGTGACAGACCCAAAGAAGGTGAGTTCAATTTCCTGGTTAAGGCAGTGGAGAACTTTCAGAGGGAAAATTAGCAGGAGATAACTGATAACTGACATCCATCAAACATGGCACGTGGAATTAGAACAGTCTACCCCAGTGATCGAAATAAAGGGTTAAGTTCGAAATTCCAACCACCTGAAGAAGGCCGGAGCGTACAACGGCCGAAACGTTGTGACAAATATGGCGACAAAGATGAGGACAATAGTCCGACTAACGTAAATACTGAAGATAAAACTATTTTGAAAGAAAAAAAAAACGAGACTATAATAACAAAAGATAAAATCAAATTTACAAAGACCACGTAAAATATGAACAAATTAACAAGAAGAAACATTTTTAACAGTAAGGTTAACGCTTTAAAATGTCCGGCTGCCACTTGAGGTAGAGGGTTACATTAGGAGTGGAAGATAAAGGTTAACCCTGCGCTAGAACAAATTAAAAATGTAGTGATCGGGGAAACATCCTCTTGAGAGTCGGTTCCAAAAAACTGTGGTTCGTGGGAAGATGGAATACGGAGAGAATGTGCCTGGTTTGCTACAGTGTAATGATATGTCGTGTCCTTGCCGTGAAGGTTTGAATTGGCGGGACCAGGGAATATAGTTTGTCCGAGCACTTTCTATTGAAGTAGAGACAGAGCAGCGAGATAGGTTGGAGGGTGACGCGTTAGACTCCATCAAGCCTCGAGAGTGAGGTCTGCGCAGCTGACGCCCAAATATTACAAAATTCATCCATTTATATCCTGACCTAGATCTTGTAAAGGTAGAGGACAACAAGAGGAGTCTGGTACTTACTACGGAGGGACAAGGAGCCGACTATATTTCCTGTATCTTATGTACGAGTTCAAAAAGAAAAATTAACAAACTTATATAATGAAATGGAGTATGCTATAGGACTATTCCGACTGTGTAGTGAGTTCGATCCTCACTGGATACCCCTTACTTTAGGCCTTGTGCCACATTTAAGCTACGCTTAGAAAATCGTTGGCCACCTCGAGGCGGTGTAATAGTGTTATACCGGAACATACCTACTGTATTGTTAATAGACTCTTCCACAAATAATAAGTAGTAGTAGTAGTAGTAGTAGTAGCAGTCGCCAGTGGGCTCAGAGTGAGTTGGTGAGTCAGTCGATGTCGGACCTTAAATTATCAACCACCACAACTAGATTGCTGCGTCATTAACTATTATTTCAAGTTCCTAACGTATTGTACGTCGAACATCTTTTAGGACCGACTTAGTGAAATACAAGCCTCCACTGTGAAAACTACTCTACAACAAATAATTAGCAAACTGGTCTCGCTCGAACAATTACAACTGAGTAGTATGTTCGATCCTCACAGGGTACCCCCTATTTTCGGCCTTGTGTCACATCTAAGCTACACTTGGAAAATCCCTATAAGGAAATCTTCTTCTTTAATTATCCGAGCATCTAGTACGGCTGTCGGTTTCAATAAAATATTTCTAAAACTATTTTTCACTCAGTGATTGCCCTTTACATTACTAATGATGTTTTCCTTTCTAACATTTTATTTGAAGCAGTGTGGAACGTCAGCCTCTTGACTATGTCAATATTTTCACTTTGAATTACATGTGATAGGCCTTTTATCTGTTGCTGCGGTTGGAAGTCCACAAGTGATATGGTTTGTCTTAATTGGTACTGTTTTTTGTTTTTGATTCTGTAGTTTCAGTCCACAAATATCGAAGGAGTGTAGCATTCGCCAATAGCCACAGGCATCTCTCGTTGAAAGGTAGGAAAATGTGTTTTGATGTTGTGAAATCTCTTTTTCATAGATTGTCATATTGTTATTTTTCAGTCCTGTAAAACAGAAAATATTTTTATTAGATATATCCAGTTTACTTAATGTCGACGACAATCTTCAACCATCTCAAGTTCACAATAAATTTGTATTCAAGTGAAAATAATGAATTTTAAACAAGATAGCAGACCCAGAGGATAATTCCTCGATAAATACAATGCCATTAATTATAGTCTTGACTGTAATTTAAGCCAAATGTTAAATCATTGATATCTCTATTTTCGCTGACTTCTATGCGTGAAATTATTCGACACTCATTGTACTGACAACAGTTGGCAAGCTTTAAGAAAGTTTTATACAACTGAGAATGCAAGGTTCGCGTATAGTGTCATTTTATAGTCCCAGTAAACGGAAATAGCTCTCTCAAAGAGGAGAGTAACAAAAAAAGTGGAGACCTGTCTTGATTATTCAAAACACCCATAATATAACTGTCAGTATTCAGCCCAAGGAAATGACGTTTTCATGAATGAAATATTAACATCAAGAAACATACTCTGAGCAAGCAGCACAGTTAAAAGTAGGTACGTTTAGTGCAATGGACATCATCACAGAAAGACAAATCGATGCGGGGTTCAAATTCCACACATGTCTGTTGCATTCATTTTCACAAAAATATTATTGAGCATTTCATGAATCCAACAATTCTTCCGCATTCAATTTATGGGATGAATAGACTGGAATCTCTACCTTTGAGTGGCAACCAATGTAAGAGAAGAAAAAATTTTGAAATCCAAAATGTGGCGTGTTTAACAACAGAGTATTAAGCTATCTTTCCCAATAATGTATGAAGAATTTCATTTAATTACGAAAAACAGTACCGCGTTTGGTCACCTCCATGTTGAAAGATTTGGCATTTCAAAAAAGAAATAATAAGAGATCGCGGCTAAAGTGTCAATATATAAAAGTGTCAAAATAACAGGCTATAAATACGTTTCCCCATTAAAATAGGGTCCAGAATGTGAAATGTCCTTATTATAGAAGGCAAAATAATTATGGACGAACATAGACGATTACCGGAAGCAATATATACTTCATGGCGGCTACAATTTGCGGGGGCCGATAACAGTGTTCAACGGGATTTTTGGTGCCAAGAAACAATACACATTTTATACCTAATTTGATGGTGCTGATTCTGAAAATGACCTTAATTTTTCATGGTTAGCTACCGTTTCTGCTGTACTGAAATTATTAATTTTTGGAAAAAAAAAGAAGATCAGTTTACAATCTTTGTTGATCACAAAGTTTAGATGACAAAGGTCGTAGAAATCCATCAATTTTCAGGTAGGCCGTGTAATTAATGTCAGCCACCTGAAATAAAATATTTTTATAAGAAAAATGTTTTTTGAGTCAAAAATTTCAAAATACATGTACCGACGTTTTCCAATTTATCGTTAAAATTCAAATTAACTGATAAACTTTATCAGTAATACACTTTAGTAAACCTGATAATTAAGATGTCATCAAAAATTTAAACACTAAAAAGTTCGTTTTGATATTCATAAATTTATCCCATCACTCTTATCCCTTCATTACGGAAGGAAACCAAGCACATTGAGATAATTTTGTTTTCAGAGTTGGAAAGGAACTCCAACTAATGACATCCCAAATGAATGCACATATTCCATTACACATGACAGTGCTGTAAATCAAAATGGACTCAAATAATATTGAACATGATAGACAATCAAGAAAGAGATTTTTTTCACTATAGTTCTTATGTTCACGAAGGTGTTATTTCTGCTGTTAGTCGATTAAAGGATTTAATGAAAATACTTGTTAGTTTTGGTAGATTCAATCCTGTTATTTTTAAAGATTTAGAATTCAATTGTTATTGCAAAAATACTATTTCTCAATAAGCGGACCAATATTTGTTGGCTTAAATACGAATTTAAAGGTTTCTACGATCTTATTTTGAAAGATGTTGCCGTCGGTCAATATCATATAAACAACACACAAATGAAAAAATGTTTTCTTTAAAAAAAAAAAGAGGTATTTCTCTACAGTAATACGGTAGCTAACAAGGAAAAAGTTAGATTAATTTCGGAATCAGGGCACTCAAATTAGCTTAAAAAAGATGATTGGTGTGTCGACACTATTTCAATTTTTTTTTTTTTTTGACTAGTGGGATTTGTGATCAAAATGTTACAGAAACGTGATTTTATTTCCATGCGGAGTAATTATTCGTCTTTATAATCATAAAGAGTATTCACTAAGTTTCAGGTTCGATCGTTTCCATAGACTTGGTTCATGAATTTAGTCACATAGTAATTATGAGTTCAATCTCCGTGTTGGGCAGTGTGAACATTAATTCATTGAAAACAGAGTGAGCAATAACTGAACAGTACTAAAAAAAATAATAACTAGACGAAATATATCAGAACATGGGCAGTGGAATGAGAAAAATCTACTCATACTTAGTCTACCAACGTAAATTAAATAAGCGTTTCAGTTTGGGATTATAGTTAAGTTACCCGGATAGATATACATCTGACGAAGCCAGGATAACATAAAGGCCGAATCATTGTGAGAATGACAACAAAGTTAGGGAAATAGTCTGCATGTAAATCTTGTAAATAAATCACCATTCTAGAAATTCATACAGACATTTCTCCTTTTAGGATAATGCTTCATTTGCGATATTTAGTTGAACATTCACCGGGCAACACAACAAAATAATCCTAATAATGAGAATATATTTATCTTACACATTCTGACAACAAAAATGCTCGAAAATCGTAAATGATAAAGAGATCCTTTCAGATAAGATGACGAAGTCGACAATAAAATGGAGAGATGTATGAAATTAAAAACAAAAATATATCTATCTATATATATATATATAGTACATATTTTTATTATTTAAAGGTTAAAGTGTGTCGCTGAACAAAAAAGCTGAATATCACCTTTACCCTTTTCTCCGGCACAGACGTGTATATACGTTTAATCTTTTTCAGACACAAACGATTAAACACGTCCTAAATATAACGTCGTTGTTGATTCTGTTTATGGCGGTCTGAGCTTGAAATGAGCCCAAAAGACAACTCATACATCCGATAGAGATATTAGCCTCCGCTCGGATACTTCAAGGTTCCTCGGTCTCTTAGTTACAATGCTAAAATCAAATAAAAAATTGTCTGAAAATGAAACATTTTTTCCCCAAAATAATTCCCATAACAAGTAAGGTGATAAACACAGATGTTTCTCTGACTCTTGAAATCGACATATCTACTGAGTTTCGTATCCTAACGTAAACAAAGAAATTGCTAAGGAAAGGGATTCGTTTTTATATATTAATTAGATTGTTATTACTTAAACGTTATTTTTAGAGGACGCTTGTATTTGAGCAGACGTGCCGTCGTTTTATTACAGAGTGCATTTATTTATTTTCGTCTGAATTTTCGGTATGAATATTTGAGAAATCTTATCAGAGAAAATATGTGCTTTCCGCAGGATTCGAACATGCGTTCCCCTAGCAGAAATCATCGTTTGATCTTGCATTACGTAATCTCTCGGCTACAGAGTTCGTCGTTGACCAAGCAAAGCTGAATAGTTACTTTAAACACAGATTTATCTCAGACTATCGAAAGAGACATATTTGCTCAGTTTTGTATCCTAATGTAAACGGAGCGTCTACTCCAATACAAGTGTCCACTAAATTGTAACGTTTAAGTAATAAAAATCCCCCTTTTCCTTACAAATATAGTACATACATAAATATCTAAATAGATCTATCGCATAAATATATAGCTAAATCTTTTGTGACGAAAAATCTGTTGTTTATCTCGGAAATTCAACTCCAAAGAGGAAGGTTTGAGAAAGGAACTGTCTGAAACGAAGTAATCAAAAAGAAACGAACATAAAAAACATTCTAGTAATTTGTGGAATTATGAAGTAATATTTCACGTCAGAGATTCAGACATCTCTTAAAGTAAACATTGTTTGAAGACAAGAAGGAAGTAAGAGAAGATGTGAAAAAGCTTCGAATGAAATAGAGGCACGAAATAAACAAAGTGACGGGAGAAACACATCGAATGAGAAGAAATGACAGCGTAAGAAAATTTTCGAAGAGGGTGAAAAGGAAATAGGTGCACAAGAGAGAACTTCGATGAACACGAGAGAAAGTGTGTGGGGGCAAATGGGAATGAATACAGAGGGAACCAATGGAGAGAACTATGACGCTCAAGGCCGTTTGCTGACTGACGTTTCCATGGAAAAACGGCAAAAGCATAACCTAGGGTAGATCCCTTCAGGGCTTCAGGTGTGTTGAGTAGCGGGGTGTTGGGGAATTGAAGTTGAAATATACCGCTCCACTCACAGACCGACAAATACGCCGGACATGAGTACGTCGCTTTCGAGATAGGTTACGTACGGGTGAAGAACGAAGAAGGATGGACAGATGACAGAAGGTCACCGCAACAATCCATTTTGATTCCTGCAGCGGATTGCAAAGCCAGTGGAACTGAAAGAGAAGCCTGAAGCGAATGGGAAAATATGTGAGTGTAGCTGAAGGAAGGCGACCTGCAGCAATACCTACCGTGCTTCTCTAAGGTATGTGCATCCGTGTAAAAGCACTTATTTCTCCTCACACACTCTGCCCCACCACTCTCTCCCTTTCTCCCTCTCTCTCTCTCTCTCTCTCTCTCTCTCTCTCTCTATATATATATATATATATATATATATATATATATATATATATATGTGTGTGTGTGTGTATATATATATATATATATATATATATATATAACCCATAAATAGTTTTGTATAGGTATACATGAAAATCGCACCTTATCTTTTTATACATTTACATGTATCTCTCATCAGTCGCTCTATACATCTATATCTATATGTGTGTTTTTGTCTGTGTGAATTTATGAGTTTAATGTGTATGTATCCGTCAACACACTTTTTATATTCTGTGTTATTCAAAATATCTACATATATAACATTATACACACACGCGCGCATATATATATATATATATATATATATATATATAAGTATAAAAGTGAACATAGAAGTCAACACTTAGAGGCGACAGTCTGTTTCATGTTTGAGGCAATCGTCAGGCTACGAGTGCTGTTCTTTTTCTCGTCTATTTACGTATACGGGTCAGTTGTGCATTGTGTGTAGTCTATTTTGGCGGTTATTTTACCGGAAGTCGTTTATTTGTTTATCTATTTATTTGGGTTAAATTATTGAGCTTGTCATCATTTATTTTTATTTTTATTTCTTATTTTATATATTTAGTATTTTTAATCTGTGTTTTATTAATGTAGTAAAAATTTGTTTATATCGCTTATATAATAGTTTTGTTTTGGTTTGGGAAGATAAACCTATTTATTCAATTTTGGGATTGATTATTGTACTTTATTCTATCAATTATTTTGGCAAGAGAAGTTTTGAATTTGCATGTATTTATTTGTATTGATTATCTTTATTTGTTTGTTTTTTTTTGTTTTTCTAACTTAATTTATCTGGATCGGTTTGTTAGTTTGTTTATTTATTTATTTGGATGAATTTATATTAATCTATTTTACTTGTTTATTTATTATTTATTTATTATACTGTATAATTTTATTTACTTTTTTCGGTTTTCGATTTTTAAGTAACGTAGTATTTTTTCTTTTAGCTTTATATAACATTTATAGCTATTTTTTCGTCCGTTTTTTGTCTGATTTTTATAGTCTCACTAATATTTTGGTCAAAATGGTTTGTTACTTTGTTATTATTTACTTTATTTATTTGGTCTCATTGACATTGTCTTTTTATTTTTTATTTATTTATTCCATTTCGTCTATTCTAACAGGTGTGATTTGGTAATTTGTTTGGGTTAATCTATTTTACTAATTTTGTTGTCATTTTGTCCATTTATTTTATTTTATTATATTTTTTCAGTTTTTGAGTTTTAATTAACGTAGTAAAAATTTGTTTTCATATCTTCATTTTGAGATGAGCTCGTATTTTTTATTTGATAATTTATTTTGGTCTGGGATGGTAATGATAGATATTTGGTCCACCAAACCAAGTTTGCAAAGTTGCAATGAAAAAAAGTAGCTATCATTACCTTCCCAGAACAAAATCAATTATTAAATAAAAGATCCGAAAAATTCGTTGTTGGTAACGAATTATTTTCCACGTACCAAGCTCTTTCTGACTCACAGGCTTCTCACTGTTCTAATCCACAGAATGTACCCGGAAGAACTACATTCCTTGATTCCACCAGGCCTAACCTTTATGGCTAACACTCGCCTGCAACATACATTGTATCAAAACTCCAACTTCCCCAACGTATTCCATTGGTGAGAAGTAAGTTCTGCTTGGATAGCTCCTTCCCGCGAACCACTGGTCTGTAGAACCGACTCGAACGATCCAATCTTAATCTCTTCATGTAGAGGGGTCACCGTAATTATACGGTGACCCCTCTACATTAAGAGATTGTTTGGGCTCTATCCTTAAAAACAGCTTCTTAACTGTCTCGATCTTGAGTGACCCTTGAGATTTGCATAGAGTGAACCATATTGTAAAAAAAAAAATAAATAAAAACTCATATATATGCACTCATTAAAATATCGTTTATGTTAATATGCTATAATGTCGGATAAAAGGTTAATTTAAAATGAAAAAACATATATGTAAATGTCCATCGCTTGTTAAGATTTATACCTTCTGAAAATGTTGAATTCCATTTTTTATCAAGTCCTTAACTTTTTTAATTTATAAAAAATGTAGACAAACATAGTTATCTCTCTCCCTCCCTCTCTCTCTCTCTATATATATATTTATTTCTCTATCTCTCTGTCTCTCTCTCTCTGTCTCTCTCTCTCTCTCTATATATATATATATATATATATATATATATATATAGTTTTACTAAAACACAGATATAACTGGTGTTTTCCAAAATTATCTCCACTAAGTTGTTTTATCTAGGAAGAAGTCTAGCAAGAAGTGGCATGTAAACTGGAACAACTCCAAAACCAAAATTGTATCCTTTAATCAACACAGAGAAATATTTTCGCCCTCTATCAGCATAACTCAGCATAACTAAATTCCTGGAATGCAATTTTTTGCGCCTTCTTGATGTCACTTTTTCTACTTATATGAAGTGAAGCGATTATTTGAATCAATTCCTAGTTTTGCTGTTAAGCAAATTCATTCACTGTCTTTTGGCAGAGAATGTTTCTCGTTAGAATCCATTCTGCATATTTATAATTCTACCTTATGTCCTTGTATTGAATATTAGTTTTATATCTAGTCTGGTGATCGTGTTCTATATCTCGAGATTCTCAGCCAATTCCAATGAACCGTCTGTAATATTATTGGTCCTGACCTGGCATCTTGAATTCAGTCACTTCCTTGCCCCCACGACATGAAATCCCTTTTTTTTTTCATAGCAGTTATTCTAATCTTGATAATTTGACCGCAGGAATTTAAGCGTACTACTAGATTTCATCGTTTTACTGTGGATATCCCTTCCTATTTCTTGCTTCCCTAATAATTACAATCTACCAACATATAAATGCAACGGTAAACCAAATCATTTGTATTCATGAAACCTTTTCTTTTATTGCTCTTGCTTATCATTATACTCTTCTCATTCTCTTTCACGCACATTAATCACATTCGTCGTCATGGTATTATC